CATGTGTATGGTAAGAATACACTTAGTAATGTGTTTCTTCTTTTGTGAAAGAACCATTTTTCACGTAAAGAAATATGCACGTAAACTTTGCCCGTTGGTTGGTCTGCCTGTACTTATCGAGAGAAGTTTTCTTCATGAGAAGATATGGACTATCCCTTGTGAATAACTCATGATCCTATAAGAGCTATGTACCGCTATACGGATAAGTCCTCTTATTCTTGCCCATAAAACCACACAATAGGGACTTAATTCCCCCCGTTTTTTCTTAACTGAAACAGACGAAGTTGCTGGTTCGTCATATGTATATGCTTAATTCCTACTTGACCCAACAAGCGCCCAATAAAAAGATTTGTTAGGATAGGAGATCGACTTTGCTTGTTCAATTTTTTTTTTTTAATTATTATTATAATTATTATTTTTTAATTCTCAAGGGGTTAATACATGCAATATGCCTTCGTCTATAAAGATAGACATATCAGGCCTTGAGTAAAATATAACCTCCAGTACACACCTAAAATTCACAATGATAAAATGCACAAATTTCTCTACACATCTTAAGCAATAATACACACGAGTCGTGATGCCCAGCATACAAATATGAAGCGTGTGGTTGCGCAAAACAAGACTGGCAAAACGTGTCAGTGTAATTTCGACTTAACCCCACCTGTAAAAAGCTATATCCCATTACTCGACTTAGAAAAAGATCCTAGTCCTCATAGCACGTCCAGATAAGGGTTGATCTTGATACAACTCCATCCTCTTTTTGCACATACCTACCGAACAAGTGATAGGACCAGACAATCCAGTGCTTTATTACTCCTGAAAATGGCAATTAAGCACGGAATTATCACCCGCAACGCAATCGAACAAACTTACGCTAAGAATTTGAAAACCATCCCTTCTTCGAAAAAAAGATTTCGCTAACAGCGCGCATGTTGAGCCTCAAGCTGACTATGAAAATATGCATTCACAACACCAATCACCTCGTAAGGTTATTTATCGACCTGAGGAAACATATGCTTGTGATACACGAACTCTGACTTACGAAGAGATCGCTCCATTAGTTCCGGTTAAGACACATGATTTACGAAACCATGGACCACAAAGCGTTGCATGCCAGCCTACTGAAGTGCCTACCGGTAACCCTCATACTCCTTTATCTCCCCCGACAACCCTTGGCGTGATAAGGGATCTTCTACTTCCACACCCCAACCAGCCTTCGGGATAATAAAACCTTTATGTTCAGTAGCAAGTGCAGTCACTAATGCCCTTAGGATGCACAACAGGATATCCTTGCCTTCCACTGGCTCCCCTATGGGAATCACTACACCAAATCGACGCAGATAGAAACGAAGTGCAACTAAAGATCCCCGAAGATAGGAAAACCAGCCCCCACACGAAGAACCATACGACCATTTAGATCTACATCATACGTCCTCGTCATGCTGTGTCCCTCCAGTGATGATCCCCATGGCTCCGCACCAACCGAAGCATCACGCTGATGCACCCGCTCCAAGATCAGGATGGTGTTGTCATCCACGGCGCCATGGTATGCCACCTGGTAATCCATTATGGGCGTCCCTTGCCCTCTGCTTACGTCTGCAAGATTGCCTAAAAGTAACACAATCTTGTTCCCCTGGCGAAACACACACCGCTCTCCCCTCTGGCGATAACCGACCTTGCAGGTATATACCGGCGACATACAACAGTACTATCCTACACTGATTGGTACACGAGTACTTATAAAACCCGCATCTTTGTCAAGACTCTCTCTCCTATATCGCAAGCTTCAGGCCGTATGGTTGTGATAAACACGGAAGCAAACCCCACCTTGACGGACAACGAACTCTATCCACAGAACAAAAAGTTCCAAAAAAAAAACAAAAATACACATACAATTCATATGGACGTCGGCCCCCACCAGGGTCTTCAAGACAATAAGAAAAAGTTAGCAATAAAAACAAACAAAAAAACAAAAACTTCTAAATATATTATTTAAATTAAAAGATATGAAAATGTCTAATACATATAATAGAAAATAAATATATAGAAAAATAAAAAATAATAAATAATAAAAAATAATTTTTTTTTTTTTTTATAAGATATAAAAATTAAAAATTAAAAATATAAAATATAAAATATAAATATGAAATATAAATTAAAAATATTTGTGGAAGCATAATGATATTTCCTAAAGAAATAAATAAAAGAAATATCAAATAATAGGCATCAAACTTTATCTTCTTAGTTTTGCATATACCAAAAATAAATAAAAAGCAAATAGATGTCAAAAAAATAAAATATAATCAAAAGTTAAAAAAACTAAATATTATTAAATACAAATAATTGACGATTGCGCTTAAAAGAGTAACAACTACGCGTCACTTCAGAAGCAGCGTTTGGGCAATGAGGAATCGCGGAGGAACAGTCGCGTGCGTGAGTATGCTGGTGCCTGTTGTTTATCACAAGATTCCAAACGATTGTTGGAGACACAGCGATAATACCAACGATTGGTGGAGCATCAATCTTTATCCTTTTGTATGATATATACGGAAATAGTAAGAATAAATGAAAAATATATATATATATATAAATAAAATATAATTAAAGTAAAAAACTTTATGCTCCACTTGGATAGCGGCGCTTGGGCAACGGGGGATCGCGGAGACACAGTCGCGTGCGTGAGCATGCTGTGCTAAAGACTATTGTTTAGCGGCGACGATGGGATGGTGAGCGTGTTGTGCGCCAGTTTGTTGTTTTGTTGTTCTCTTATGCAAGGGTACACTGCCATGCACCCGCAATGATAAAATATTTAAAATGAGGAAACAAAAATAAAAGATAAAAATTCTAATTTTTTTAAAAAAAGCTAAATTTTATAAAATACAAATAATTCACGATTGCGGCCTTAGTTAGCTTAAAAGAATAGCAACTACGTGTCGCTTGAGAAACGACACTTGAGCAACTGGAGATCGCTGAGGTACAGTCACCTGCCTGAGTGTACGGTGCTTGAGCCTATGGTTGGGTTGGCGGCGACGATTGGATACTGAGCGTGTTAGACTCTGGGTTGGGATTGCTGCAAGGGTGCATTGCCATACACCCGCCATTCCCTGGTCCTTGTCGACCTCGGTCGGTGATCCCAATTGACTGTGTGTGGAGTGCCTACAAGAGGGGTCAGTCAGTGGGCAGAATCCGCGTGCCGCACGAAATCAGTAATCGTAATCGGTCAAGGGCTCTGCCCCCTGACATAGATATGAAATTTCTCGGCGATGGTCTTTTCACCCTCGTAAAAGCCCTCAGACACGGGGCCTCTATGTAAGAAGGGTGCTGATGACGCTACTTGGCTTCCGTTATTTGCGTGAGTAGCGACATGAGGGCGCTATGTTGACAATTCACGACGACACGCTGAGTGGCTATGTTATTCCCTGCTACTGGCATGTTGGTACCGTTGAAAGCTCCGATTTGCTTCTTTTATAGATCGTGATGATGCTTTCTCATTGGCGTGGTAGGAAACCGTATTCGCTTTTTCGATTGGCTAGTGGTAAACAAGTAGTACTTTTTGGTGTGTTGATATGTGTGTGAGAGAGAGTGAGAGAGAGAAAGAGAGAGAGAAAAAAAGTAAAAGAGAGAGAGAGAGAGGGAGAGAGAGAGAGAGAGAGAGAGAAAGAGAGAGAGAGGGAGATGTAGTCGTTCGCAACATAAAGGCGCTATGACAACAGGTATATATATATATATATATATATATATATAGATAGATAGAGAGAGAGAGAGAGAGAGAGAGAGAAAGAGAGAGAG